TTGGCCCATTTATTGATTGGGTTAATTGTTTTTCTGGTGTTTAGCTTTTTTTAATATTTATTTTTTTAGTTGTAGCTGGACCCAATATCTTCATTTTATTTATTTATTTATTTTTATGTTGTGCTGAGGATTGAACCCAAGGCCTTACATGTGTGAGGTGAGTGCTCTACCGCTGAGCCATAACCCCAGCTAAACACCAGAGGGTGTTTAGCTTTTTAAGTTCTTTATATACCCTAGAGATTAGTGCTCTATCTGATGTGCAAGTATTATAAATTGGCTCCCAAGGTGTAGGATCTCTATTCACCAAACTGATTGTTCTTTTGCTGAGAAGCTTTTGTTTAAATTCATCCCATTTATTGATTCTTGATATTAATTCTTGTGCTATAGGAGTCTTATTAAGGAAGTTGGGTTCTAATCTGACATGATGGAGATTTGGGCCTACTTTTCTTTTAAAAGTTGCAGTGTCTCTGGTTTAATTCCAAGGTCTTTGATCCACTTTGAGTTGAGTTTTGTGCGTAGTGAGAAATAGGGGTTTAATTTCATTTTGTTGCTTATGGATTTCCAGTTTTCCCAGCACCATTTGTTGAAGAGGCTATCTTTTCTCCAATGTACATTTTTGGCACCTTTGTCTTATATAAGATAACTGTAGTTATGTGGGTTAGTCTCTATGTCCTCTATTTTGTACCATTGGTCTACAAGTGTACTTTAGTGCCAATACCATGCTGTTTTTGTTACTATTGCTCTGTAGTGTAGTTTAAGATCTAGTATAGTGATGCTTCACTCTTCCTGCTAAGAATTGCTTTGGCTATTCTGGGTCCCTTATTTTTCCAGATGAATTTCATGACTGCTTTTTCTATTTCTATGTGGAATTTCATTGGGATTTTGATTGAAATTGCATTAAATCTGTATAGTGTTTTTGGTAGTATGGGCATTTTGACAATATTAATTCTGCCTATCCAAGAATAAGAGAGACTTTTCCATCTTCTAAGGTCTTCTTTAATTTCTTTTTTTAGCATTCTGTAGTTTTTATAGTAGAGGGCTTTTACCTCTTTTGTTAGGTTTATTCCCGAGGTTGTTTTTTTGTTTTGTTTTGTTTTTTTGTTTTTGAGGCTATTGTAAATGGGTTAGTTTTCCTTGTTTCCCTTTCAGAGGATTTGTCACTGATATACAGAAATGCCTTTGATTTGTGGGTGTTGATTTTGTATTCTGCTACTTTGCTGAATTCATTTACTAGTTCTAGAAGTTTTCTGGTGGAAATTTTTGGGTCTTCTAGGTATAGAATCATATCGCTGGCAAATAATGCTAATTTGAGTTCTTCTTTACCTATATGTCTCTCTTTAATTTCTTTTGACTGTCTAATTACTCTGGCCAGCATTTCAAGAACTATATTAAATAGAAGTGGTGAGAGAGGGCATCCCTGTCTTGTTCCAGTTTTTAAAGGGAATGTTTTCAATTTTTCTCCACTGACTTGGTTTCTCCTCTGATTAGTTTTTCCTTTAGTGTAATTCCTCCCTCTGCTGATTTTCATCATCTCCTCTTCATGGAATATTTTGCCAAGGATGTTCTGTAGTGTAGGATTTCTAGTTGTAAATTCTTTTAACTTTTGTTTATCACGGAAGGTTTTTATTTCATCATCAAGCCTAAAGCTTAATTTTTCTGGATAGAAGATTCTTGGGGGCTGTGGTTGTGCTTCAGCGGTAGAGTGCTCGCCTAGCACATGTGAGGCTCTGGGTTTGATCCTCCGTACCACATAAAAATAAATAAAGATATTGTGTCCAACTAAAACTAAAAAAAATATATATTTTTTTTAAGAAAAGATTCTTGGTTGTCATTCATTTTCTTTCAGAGCGTGGTATATGTTGTTCCATGATCTCCTGACTTTGAGGGTCTGGGTTGAAAAATCTGCTGAGTTAGGGTCTCCCCCTATATGAGATCTGATTCCTTTCTCTTGCAGCTTTTAAGATTCTAACCTTATTCTGGATGCTAGGCATTTTCATTATAATGTGCCTTTGTGTATATCTTTTGTAATTTTGTACATTTGGTGTCCTGTAAACCTCTTATATTTGGTTTTCCAATTCATTCTCCATGCTTGAGAAATTTTCTGATATTATTTCATTGAAGAGATTGTGCATTCCTTTGGTTTGAAATTCTGTGCCTTTCTTTATTCTAATAACTCTTAGATCTGGTCTTTTGATGCTGTCCCACAATTCTTGGATGTTCTGTTCATAGTTTCTTACTATCTTCACTGTGTGGTCAACATTCTTTTCCAGAGTGTATACTTTGTCTTCATTATCTGACATTCTTTCTTCCAAGTGATCTAGTCTGTTGGTTATGCTTTCTATTGAGTTTTTTATTTGATTTATTGAATCCTTCATATCAAGGATTTCTGCCTGTTTTTTTCCAGAGTCTCTATCTCTTTCTTGAAGCAATTTTTTGCTACCTGTATTTGTACTCTCTCCCCCCCCTCTGAGTGATCACTCTTTGCCTGTATTTGCTCATTTAGGTTATTCTTTAATTCATAGATCATTTTAATTATGAACTTTCTGAACTCCTTCTCTGACATTTCATCAACTTTGCTGTCCATGGGTTCTGTTATTGTAGTATCCTAGTTTGTTTGGGACATTTTCCTCCATTATTTTTTCATGTTGTCTAAGTGTCTTCCTTGCAGTGTGGATCTGAGATATTACAGTTTCTACCCTATATCCTTGTAGTATCCATGTAGATTGTCTGTACCTCACCTTGATGTTGGACTGCTGGTGTCTCCCAATGTATACTACTGCAATTCAAGATGGTGGTGGCAATAGCCGAAGTAACTCGAGATAATAGTGGAGGTGCCCCAAGATGGATGCAACATCTTATAGAGATGGGGCTGAAAGGGTGGGCATGCTCTGATATGCAGCTGTTTGTAGGCCTTGTCTGTTGTCAAAAGATGGGGGCTGCTCTGTGGAGAAGGCTTTGGTGATGTCTTCAGTGTCCCAAAATGGAAGTGGGTTAGGCTTGGGCTCCCAGGTGGTGGTGGGGGTGGTGGACTCAGACCTCCCCAGGGCCTGGCTCCCACGTATGTCGGTGTAGGCAGACCTGGGCTGGGTCTGGGCTCCTGCAGTATTCCACTGGTTGGAAGAGGTGGTCCTGATCTCCCTCAGTGTCTGCCAGTGTCAGGATGGACCTGGGGCTACTGTCAGTGTGGCTAGATCTGGGCAGGGCCTGAGCTCCTGAAATCAAGTTTTTTGTCTTTTCTTTTTCAAAGCCTCTTCCTTTTCTGCTAAGCCATCTTTCATCCTCTGATCGCATTGCAAGAGCACTACTTATTGTTTTCCAGTTTCAGTTAGTTGTTAAAATTTATTTGGCTCCACCTAATTTAATAAGTGATTATTATACATTATTTATGATAATAAATCTTGAAGATATTCATATTTGTTAAATATATTTAATATATTTTTTAAAAATTGATTATCTCTAAGTGAGCTGAGTAATGTTTTATGATCTGTTTTATACTGTTCTATATTTAAAACATTTTCTAAAATGGATTTGCATTGTGCTTATATTGTTGAAAGTTATTTTTAAAATAAAGCATATATATGTGTGTGTATGTATATATGTATATATATATATATATATATATATATATATATATATATATGATTTTTAGACCATAAGATGCTAGTAAGTATCAGCTATTTAATTTATTGAAATGCAAGAACACCCTGAAGAGCCAAGTATTAAGTTAAAAACAGCCAATCGACTCAATGGTTGACAGTGATAAATGCAAATATATAGATACCCTCAGAGCCCAACAAGACCACGAATAACAGGATCTCACTATCTCTGATTTCATGAGCCCCTCTTTGCCCAGCAGAAGGGACAGAACAATCTAGAACAAAGTATCATTAGGCATTGCAATACCTAGAAATGCGGACACCTCTCATTTCTTCATTGGTAATCTCTCGCTTTATAGAAAGTTTTATTTCTTTCTGCCTGGAAAAATGCCCACTTCTCTTATCTCGATGGGATCTAATGATTTATTTTCACACACCCATGGATCTTTGACCAACTACAGTATGCGTGTTCAGAAGAGAGTCCCTTCCCCTTGGAAAACTAGGTTTGGACTTCCAGCAATTCAGACAATAGAACTGTTAGCCTAGCGGCTTTGGAAATTCACACTTACCACCTAACAAAGGAGGTAAAAGAATTAAATTCCTAATTCCTAATTTAAATTTCTGATTTGATCCAAGTTTGCTTCTAGATACTCATCACATTGGTACTCTTTTTCAAGTAGTGTGCTCTGTAGCTTGAGATACAATATTTGACGTGTGTGTTGTGATTTCCCAGGCACACTCTGTTGCATTATTGTTTCGTTGAATCATCACGTCAGCCCTATGGAAACATTCTATTACCTATTTTGTAAAGAGGAGGCTAAAGGTTCAGAAAGATGGGTCGGTGAGTCCAGGATTACAAGATCAAACTAATGCCAGGTCTTCTAGGCAATTTCTGCCTCTGTTCCAAAATTAGGAACCTAACCCTGGGTCAAAGGCTGAAAATGCATAGGATAGGGATGATCCTGCATAACAAAACCATCTACTGCAGAAAGGAGGGAAAGAGAGGAGGGTAGGACAAATATCTATTAAGCTTCTGCTCTGTATGGGCTGTTTTCCTTGCACTATCTCATTTAAACATCGTCTCTTTCTCCGACGTGACCAGACAGGAGCACAAATTAGGCAAGATCAAATTGCTTCCCTAAAGTCACAGACATCACAAGTGGCAAAACTGACCACAAATAACCCGAAACTTTCTGACCCCCGAACCCATAACCACACCTCACATTTTACTAGGACTCATAGTGCATAGTGCATTTATGCACACAGTAGATTTTTAAAGGCAAAAAGCAAAGAAAAGTTTTCTTTTTTTGGAAAGACATATTCTTAAGGTGCACCTCCCTTTGCCTTCACCCTCTGGCCCAGCTTTCTGTGTGCACTGCTGACGGGCTCTTCTGCTCCCTGCAGGGTGTGTGCTGGTGGTATCTGTGGTTGAACAGCTGGCTCAAGTCCACAACTCTACGATCCAGGCCTCAATGGAGCGACTGTGCAGTTACCTGCCTAGTAAGTATGGACCGTCTGGCACTACTGTGTATCTGCTTGCCTTCTTTACACCCACATGTGCTTATGGAATGGAATCTGATTGTGTTATTTCTACAGATTGATATTCTTATGGGGCTAATAAAAATTAAAATTAAAATGCCACTCCAGGCAGTTTCTTCCTGTCATTCATTTCTCCATCATGGCAGGATGAAATTGCTGGGGACATTTAGAGAATAAACTGTTAAATGGCCAATGTTGGTTTATGTGTCACATTAATGATTTGCCCACCTGCTGATCATTGCCTTAAGTACCAAGAAATCAAAATAATGAAAAATTTTCAATGATTTTTATGTTAACTTATATACACATACCCAGACACACAGATGGCCCCCCTAGTACCTGGGGAAATAACTGACCTCAAAACCCCAAATGGGAAAATAATCGGGAACATTCATTGATTTCAATTAGTTCTCAATAAATTTTCCTATCTACCCCACAAAAGAAGGAACTGAACAGTGGTTCAGACAAGTTGAATTTTTTCAGTCTCAGAAAGAAGAAAATTCTATTCCTTTATAGAATACTGTTCCTTGAACAATACATTGTTTTGAGAATACTTTTTTTGGGTCAACTTTTTTTTTTTAACTCAATGGTACTTCATCGGAGTAGATTTTTCTACAACTGAGTTCATGCCGACACTTCTAATTAAAAACCAGAACTACTGATGTTTTTCTTAATCTCGTCTGTATCCTCTGCTCCTTCTTTCCAAAGTCTCTTTCCATACAGAGTCCTATTTGCCAAGGATTAAGTGATAGAATTAAAATAGTCCATAATTGCTCATTCACCTATCCCCTATTACACACAAAATTTTCTCAGACTATCAGTTCTAATATTACTATCATTAACATATTTTATAATTATTGAGACCAGTTAAAATCGTTTTTATATGATTTCCTCATTTTTCCACCCTTCTAAATCATTGATCTCTATTTTTCTGAGCACATAGAACACCCACCCGCTGTTCGCCTCATTTAGTCTGAGTTCCATTCACAACTGTGATTAACGTTAACCCCAGCTCTCTCGGGATGTCTCTTACTATCTAAAGTTCATTCCTCAGGAAGGACTCATGGGAACAATATTCCCTGAATTCTTGCATGTTGAGAGCATGTTGTCTATGCCCTTTGTACTTGAAAGTCAGCATTTCTCTGGATATAAAAATCCTTGGCATAATTTATTTCCCTGAACATCTTAAATATGTTATTAAGAAGCCTAATGATAACCTAATTTTCTTTTCCTTTGTAAGTCAACATTATTTTTCTCCTAGAAGTTCAAAGAATTGTTTTCTTTTGTTTACTATGAAGGTTAGCCATCTAATTAAAAAATGTCTTGGTGTTAATTGTTGAATTTTGATGTTGTCAGGCATGTAGTGTGCATGCTTTCTCTCTCTCTCTCTCTCTCTCTCTCTCTCTCTCTCTCTCCCTTTCTCTCTCTATCTCAATGTGTGATTTAGATCATATATTTTCTAATTTCAGCAAAAGTTTTTAGCATTTCTTCAGTCTCTTGCTTTGTTTTCTTCTTCTGACATTTCTATACCCATCTGTTGAATCCTCATTGTCTGTCTTTGATATTTTGCTTGTCTCTTGAATATTTTTTATCTCTTCACTTATTTTTTAATCTATAAAAGTTTTCTTCCTTTCACTTTCTATTTCTCTTAAGACACCTATTGTTTTCACTTGATATTGTGTTCATTTCTTTTAAATTCATTTCTCAATGATTTTCTATTCTTTTATTCCATGACTGAGTTTTATTCTCATTCTCATTTTTACTGTTCTTTCATGAGATATTATATTTTATATTATATTTTAATATCTCTCTCTCACCTTATTTCCTGGCATGCTTTTACTATCTGTAAAGATGCTATTCTGTTCCTTCTTTTTTTTCTTATAATAACTTTGTATGGGAGTTGACCTAGATACATTCCTCTTGCTTATTTTTATATGAAATTGGTTTTTAAGAACTCTTAGAAAGAGGTGGCTGAGGAGAGTTTTTATAAATGCACAGAGCTCTTCTAGTTGAATAGGGTTTAAAACATAGGTGAGCTCTTCTTTTCTGAGATTCTATGACTCTTCTCCTCTTCCCACTTTTATATGGAGTTTCTTTAGACTTAATTTCTATTCGGCTCAGTTTTGAGTCCATATGTAGCATTTTCTCCTCAGTGTGAGCCCTGTCCTGAAAGGCAGCTTTGGTGGGTAAGTTTCTACATCTTATGGATGCCAAATGACCCCAGACCCTAAGTCCTTCTGACCTTGAGCCACTGGCACCCACCTGCTATTGCTGTAGGCAAAACCTCTTCTTCCAGTCTCAGCTGCTGTCCTCTAATGGGCCCACTAAGCATGTTTTCTAGTCAATGCCTGCAGCCCTTTGGGGATTCTCTTTTCCCGGGGTTGTCTGACATCAATTGCTTCCCTCTACTTTCTCTGGTACAGATATTGATAAGCCACAGGACTTGTGGCTGTGAATGTCCATGCTTACCTAACAGTACATTGGGGTTCATAGAGACACTCTGTTTTGTGGTAACTGTTGTCTGTGGATTCTGGTTTTTGCTATCCAAGGGCTTTTCTTGTATGTGGAGATTCAAAGGTATTCAAAAATTTTTGCTGCTTCTGCCATCATCTTTCTATAATTTTCCTTTGTGTAGGCTGAAATTTGACTTCAGTGAGCAACAGTATGCATGGCTCTGCAGCTTCCCTTTTTCACTCAACATTGTTTTTAAGACCTACACACAAGAAGACATATAGACCTAAGTCAAGTCTGTTAATTACCCTATAGTTCTTCACCATATAAATGTCTTATATTTTAATTGACTTATCCCCTATTACTAGACATTTACAATCTCTTATAAATCTTAGTGCTATCTGTAAGAGATAGGCCCCAGCAGAAGGTCACTGGGTCATGGGAGCATCCTCTGGGAAGGAGTTAATTCTGGTCTAGTGGGAGAGAGCAAGTTGTTAGAAAGAGAGCAAACCTTCACAATAAATCCCAGTATTGCGTACAATTATAATGTACCAATTTAATTTTCTTAAAGCAAGCTTGTAAGGCTGGTACACATGCCTATAATCCCAATGACTTGGGAGACTGAAGGAGGAGTATCACTTGAGCCATGAGTTTAAGACCAGCCTAGACAACTGAGTTTGACCCCATCTTTAAAAAAGAAAAGAAAGCAAGTCTAGCCCCTTATTCTTCTTGCTTCCTATCCAACCATGTGATTGCTCTCTTCTTCCTGCATATTTCCCTTCCATGTTGTGATGCAGCCAAGGAAGTGGGATGGGGGGTGGGTTCCTCACCAGAAACTGAACAGATGGGGCCACCCAATCTTGGATATTTAACCTCTCATTCAAATGGAGAGCTAAATAAACCTCTTTTTTGCTATGAAATATCTAATCTCAAGTATTTTGTTATAGCAACAGAAAACAAAAGAATTCAGACTTTATATTTTCACATCTCTAAGTTACAGAAAAAGGGGAAAATGTTATTACAATTTCACAAAAGTGAGGAAAAGTCATAGTTATTGTTAAGTCTTGTTTAAATTGTTTGCCATTTCTGTGTATAATAGACCCGACTGACAAATTTAACCATTTGCAACTTGAGTTTGACTTTTCTCTTTTTAGGCAAAGATGTGTTGTCCAAAGGTAGGAGACTAAATAAAAATCCCATTTTCTAGATTAGCCCTTCTTTTTTTCTATAGTATCAAAATAAAAAAAAATCCAAAACAAGATTACTGGTATTTAGGCATCCTGTTGACTCTTCATCCACAGGGAATTTCTGTCTGACATGGTAAAGTGAGAGGCTGAAAAGTCAGATTCTAGTGAAATGGAAGTTGTCACTTTGCTAAGGGAAGAAGGCATATAGTTGGGTTTTCAATTGTGGGCCTACCATTCTGGGCACTGTTTCCCACATCCATAAAGTGGGAACAATAATGTCCACCTCCTTTTACATCTGTCAAGTGTAACGACCTTTTGACCTGTACTGAATGTCTGGTCTCCATCTGCAGGTAAAGCAGTAATTGATAAACTGAAAATAAAACCAAGCAGCCTTCCTAAGCCATTGAAATTGCTCCAGTTGAATTTTTTTTTCAGAATGGTTACATGAACTGTATGGGATGACAAAGATAGAGTATCTCCTAGTGTAGGTTTCTCTTAGAAAACATAATAGGCCTGGCCTACAATGCCTCACTGAACCAGTATTGCCTTCTGTCTGCTAAGCCACAAAAAAATGGGAGATAGAAGGATGAAATTATGTATATAAACATAAAATTATTTTTGAATCTATGTTTAAGTATTCCTTTTCTCTCTAAAGGTAACCAAGAATAAAGCACATGACCTTAGCAGAGAAAGCAAATAAGCTACATTCTTGAAAAGAATCACTCGGTAAATCACGTTGCCCTTTCTGGTACCTGGGCAGACAGTTTTTTCAAACTGTGCAAAGTATTTCTGACCTTCCTTTTCACCCGCCGCTTTTGCCTCCAGCTCTCATTAGTAAATACCTTGGAAGAATCTCAGAATTGTTAATGGAAAAAATGATTAATGGAATCATTCTCATAGGGGTCAACAGAATCACATGCCCTGAGTGTCTTGCCAGAACTTCCTTGAGTCACCTATGCAGAAATCTCATCTCTGTGGAATATGATAGTTAAAAACTCATGGAGCCTTAGAAGGAAGAAGGTAACTCATGTATCCTAGTATTGCGTATAATTATAATGAACCAATTTAATTTTAATATGTAGCCTCAAAAGTAGTTACATGATCAATAGGTCTCACTGTGCTTCAAGTTTCTCATTAGTAATTAATGTATAACAGTACCTGCTTGACCTGAGATAGACAAGGCATCAAACAAAATGTCCTAAGTGTGTCCAAATGTACACTATAAATAACATTGGCTCTTAGAGTAAAAGACTTTAACCTCAGCTGAACCATTTAATATGTATGTGATCTAAGCTCTCTAAGTTTCAGTGTTCTTGCCTATAG